CGCGCTTGATCGCCACGACGGACTGTAGGATCCAAGCGAGCCGAGTCGAGCCTTCGTCAGCGGGGTGACGATCGTAGTGGTGGGAGTTAGCACGCGACGGTCGGGATCGTCAGTGCGGGTATGAGGATGTGTGATTGACGTTCAGTGGATGATTGGCCCGGGGCCAAATTGGAATTCTACGGCGAATGCGCCTTTATTGCAGATCATTTTTTTTTTATGTGAGTTCATGGCTGTAAAGCCGAATGCTCTCGTGTCAGATTTTGGTGTCTTCTGTCTCAGCTTTCGTTGTCTATCCCTCCCACCCCTCTCTCTCCCTCCCTCTTTGACTTGCATGACGATGCATTCATGGTTTCTCCCTCTTGTGACCAAAGGCGAACTCGCGAGAGTCCTCGCATGAAAGAACTTCAAGAACTCTTCCATTAGTTTCCTGGGTAGTCCCCAGATGCCGAGGGTTTGATCCCCCTCGTCTTGTGAACGGTGGATGCGTGTGTACACCCCCCCCCCCCCCCCCCCCCCGTTGATTTCTGACCTGTGTATCTTTGTCATTTTCGCACCTTCCACAGTGAATGTATGTATGGAGGTTGCTTGTCTTTTTGCGTTGATTAGACTCAGCGCTTGATGGGATTTTGTTTGAGAATGCAAGAGTGTTTAGATTTGTGGTTCTGACTGCACTGCGCATGCCATCTGCCTTATGCTGCACGACATTAACCGATAGTCGGTGAGGCAGCCTCGAAGAAACTAGGCGCCTCGTGTTTCTATTGATCAAGTCTGCTGAAACTGAGTCGCGGGTTGGTCCCTCGGAATTCCAACCCGACTCATGCATGATTGTGCGGGTTTCATAAGTTGCCTCTCTCGTGTCTGAAGAAAGGCCCTAATTATTTCTTTCTGTGCTTTCTGATGACGTCTCGAGTATTCGCGTAAACTCAGTCTAGTTAATTGACATGTGGACTAACGTTCGTCCCTCAGTCGGGCGCCAGCCTTCTGTGTCTCCCTTGTCAACGCGCCCCTTCCCCTACAACGAGGAAAGGACACGTGTGTGCGAATGGAATGTACGGGAAGTTGTATCACGCATCGGCGGACAATATTACTTCCCTCCTGAAAACCGTTGTTTCGGGTTCGTAGATGCGGGTTTTGTCATCATCGATACGCACTTTCCACCTCACTCAGTGTTGTTGCGATTAACGAGCTGATCGTCATTCCGTAGACGGCAGTAGCGCCCCATTGGCCTCGAACCCTATGCACTAAGTGCCAGCGTTTCGATCGCTACGAATCTAAGGGCTTCCACTACCGGATACGGAGTGAGGACGAGCACAAGGAAAGAGCCACGCGTCTGAGACCATCCACGTCAGACTCAGAACTGACCAACGAGCGACGTCGGGACTTGATACGGAAACGGGATACGCGGAGTGTACCGAAGCCCTTCCGCTCTAAACAAAGATCCGTAACGCGGTGGGAAGCTCGACAATACTTTTTGGATTGAATTTGGATTTTTTTCTTTTTGCGTCGTGCCCGCGCGTGCATTTAGCGACGCGTGAAAGCAACCGACTTACTTCATTTGGCCAACACGGGGGAATTCAGTTCTGTCTGTGTCCCCACACTCAATTTTCCAAAAATCCTTGGCACACCCTATCTTGCTGTTTTTCCTGGGCCTTCATTCCGCACCTTTAGCACTCCGAACGAAAAACCGCACAGGGCGTGAGGTTGCGCGTCATAGACATAGCATAGAAGAATGTCAGCACTTTTACAGCACAATGGAATGTGGTCCTCATATAACCCACCCGCCCACTCACCCAGCCACCCACGCAACCCGCATTCACTGAGCAACTACTTTGTTCTGCAACGGGCTAAACGTATCATAAACATAGCGCATAGCACAAACACAGCACAAACACAACACAAAAATAGCACAAACATAGTATAAACATGCCGCGCAAACATAGCACAAACACAGCACAAACACAACACAAAAATAGCACAAACATAGTACACACAAGGTTCGAACACAAAACCTGCACAGCACAAACAAGGGTCGAACACAGGGACAAGCATATGAGAAATACGGAATGAACACTGCACAAAGATAGCACGTTGGAGCAGGATCCTATTATAGGAGCTCCCTCACACCCACCCACTCGCTGATCCACCCACCCGTCCACTCACTGAGGAAGTGCCTCATTCTGCCCTGGGCTGCAGAGAGCACAAACATAGCATGTACATAGCACAAGACATAGCACAAACAAGACTCGAACATAGAACCGGCACAACTAGCAAGGTATCGGCCATCTGGGCAAGGCTTCCTGATCAGGTAACGTACAACTAGGAAGGTCTCAGCCATCCTGTGAACAAAACAAACTGTTTTTTCGACACGCTTCCTGATTGGGTAAGCTGCCGCTAGGAAGGTTTCAAACATACTGTGTGGAAATCAGACACTGGGATTGGATGGAGAGATGGACAACGGGAGCTTAGTCTTCGTCCAACTGCTGTGATAAGCTCAGATCCGTACCGCACGGCTTGCCGTATCCTTGAGGAAAAATCCCATCGAAGCCCCGAAATACGGACACGGACAGAAAGGGGTTTTTCTTTCTTTTTGCTTTTGTTTTATTTTTAAAACGGCTTTTTCATTTTGTTTGGTTAATAACTCCCACGCGGGCGAATAGCGGCTGCGGTATGAAAAGTAAGAAACGGTTTCGGTTCGAACCTTTTTTTTTTTTGCGCGCGCGCACACGCCTAAGCTTCGACTTCTTCCCGTGTCTCGCACCCCCGTTGTCAGGCGGCCACAAGCAGTRCGCCGCCTGAAATCTACGGTTTTGGGACTTAGGCGCAAAGACGAGTCTGAGTTTTGACGGTACTCTGGTTAGACCAGGCAGCGGAAACTAAGGGAGCTCAGGGCGCCCTTGATTTTGGGCGCGCTGAACCTTACGGGTAACCCTCAAAGATAGCGAGATGGGTGGTCGCACTCGGCACATCAACAGACCGTCATTTCCGGCCGTTCAGAAGGTTAGACCCGGATTGGCCTGTCGCGGAGAGGCATCGCAGGAACTGACCTCGCAGCAACGTTTTTTGCGGCATACGACCGGGGCCGAAATGAGGCCTCAAATTTTTGTCTATTTTAGTACCATAATTAAAGATGGGGAAAAGGAATTACGACCAGTAGGGGAGAAGCGAAAAATATAATATCTCTTTATTTTTTTATTTTTTATGGCATTTAATTCAAGGGGGAATACCCTTGTTATTTTATGTTTCCGGCAATGAAATTAAAAACATAGAAAAAAATTAAAAACGGTAAAAGAGAAAAGAAACAAAAGGAATTCGGCCATTTATTTAAACTTTCTCATGATTTAATTTTGGGGAACTTACAGTTAATTTACTATTTCCGACAACAGAATTAAGGAAAGGGAAGAATGACGAAAAACGATGAAAGGGACGGGAACCCATGACTATTGGGAGATTGGCCTAATTTCGCCTCGATTACCCGCCATCAGCTCTGACTCCAGATTGATCATTTTCCCCGGATTTTAACAAGTTGACACTACTGCCGATGGTCGAGGTTCCGTGCGACGCTTTCCCTGGTGTGCTTGATTACTAACATTACCACAGTTGAGATGTTCTGAGAGCAGGAGTCGCATGGACAGCATGGGGTGGTGCTGCCTTGGGTCGACTATGGTGTTTGGTTCGGTACGGATACGAGGGTTGTTACGGAGTGGCTACGTCCTACGGTGTCTGACGTGCTTCAGGTACAGTATGGGCCCGGTGACAACTGTCTCACTACGGTGACTTATTTTCAAGTTTGGGACAGCTGCGGTGATTTATTCTCAGGACCGGGGCCACTACGACAGTTATTCCAGGTTTGGAACCTTGGCGGCAGTTTGTTTTCAGGTCCGGAAACATTGCGGCATTTTATATCAGGTTCGGAACAGGTTATCATGGCATGATTGTACGGGTTTGGCATCCGCATGGCACAACAGCCCGGTACCGGATTTCGGGTTTGATCAGGTTCGGTCGCATCGTGGTGTTTCGTTTCAGGTTCGACGCCCTTACGGCAGTTTATTTCGGAACCTCTGCGGTGATTTATTTTCAGGTCCGGGATCATTGCGACGGTTTACTTCAGGTTCGGTACTATTACCGCGCCGCTGCATCTTGCCGTGTTCGACATGTTTCASGTACGGTATTGGTTCGGCATTGGCGTGKTACACGCCACAGCATCATTTTCAGACTTGGAACTGGATCGGTATCGACACGGCGCGAGGCACGGGARCCCYGGATGGTTATATCAGGTTCGGCTTCGGTATGGTAAGAATTACAGCGAGCCTGACTGAGTGATCCGGGTTTGACATTGACAGGTACGGATTGCTGAGATATAACGTCGAGACAAGTTCTAGTTGGCTAGTTCAAGGTTCRGAATTGGTATGGTGACGCCGCAACTTGTTCCATGGAACACCGCAACAGGGTACCACTATTTTCGTGTCCGTACTAGCCAGGGACACTTACGCGCGCTGAACCAACGATCGGTCGGAGATTGCCACATTTGCTCCGGTTCTATGGGACTTGGTACCGTCAAACTGCCGGTATACGGGTAGTGTGGCCAGCGGCAGATAGAAGTGTTAACCTTTAGACATATGCAGACTAAGGGGGGGTTGGCTGCAGAGCTGTTTTTTTTTYTTTKTGGGATTGGGCTCAGCTTGCCTGGCTCAAGGGACTACTTCTGCTACCCGAAGATTACTGGTACTGCAGGGTCTGAAGGGCCACGCGGTTTCGCAAGGTACCGTGCGGAAACTGACAGTACAGGTGGATCCGSATGGGGGMCCCTGCCCCGACGCCGTGGCCACTACGGGCCTAAGTGCTTAGTYGCTCMGATATCACTGACCCRCTAAAGCCCGTGGCAAGYAGGGGKATGTAGGGGACTATCTCGGCTCGGAACCATTGCGAAACTCGTCGGAGCTGTCTACGCCAGTGGGCTGAAGCTGGTGCCTGGGTACTGTGGACGCCGAGCCTCTGAGACCGGTACCACTGTTTTCTTTTTCCTCTGTGGCGCGGCGGACTACTTCCTGCACACTTGCACTCAGAGAAGGCCTTGGTCGGTCAGACCATGGGACTGAAGAGGATATAGGGGAGAACAGTGAAGGGAATGGGATTTGCATGCCAGGTGTGCCCGGCGTCAAGCAGTTGCAGAGTGGGAGACGAGCTCGAGGCGGAGATATCAGCGCCCAAGCGGTTACGCCGAGAAAGGGGGGGCGCACTAGAGCGGGCGACGAGTGTGACCAAGATGCGCTGCAACGGGGTGCACCAGGGGAAGCGACGGCAGGGAACGCAGCGAACGTACCTTCTCATGATGCGCAGTGGTTCTAAGTTGCTCATGGTCAACGGTAGCTATGGCAGCAGTGTCTGTGTGCGTGGGAGAGAGAGAGAGAGAGACTAAGTAGTGAGAGAGTGAGACACTGCGCAGTGTGTGAGCATGAGAGAGAGACTATGCAGCGTGAGAGAGGGGGATTGTGCAGTGTGAGAGATGAAGAGGGAGTGAGAGAATAAGTAAGGGATATTGAGAGAGAGTGCAGAGGGTGATATGTGTGGGAAAGGAGAAAACGGTGAGTGTTCATTATTATTATAATTATTATT